GCTGCTTACCTAAGCCTTACATAGTCAGCGCTAGATAAATAAAAGTGATTTACAATCCAAATCAATATTAACTTCATTATATATATCTTTTTAGGTATGAATCCTCAGGTTTAGAAAGATGATTTATAACTATATTGACAACGCTGAGGGGCAGCAGCTCTTGTCTATACAGTTGCCACACTTCAGCAGAACATTCTAAATTTTAACCTTGCAATTTTGTACAGCCAGATTTCAGGATGGAGGCCTAAAAACCTACTTTAAAGCAAAAGGCTGGTGAGTTGTTTTTTTTTTTCTGTAGTATAATCACATATTGAATGCTTCTCTGTGTAAAATAAGTATTAGATACATTAGCAATATATTAATATTATTTAAAGAAAGGATGTCATGTATTCTGAGAGACAGCTGAACAACAAAACTCCCTTACTTTCAAGATGCAGCATTAGTGTTTATGTAGAAAACACTGTTACTACAAGCTGGTGCTGTGCTTTAGTACTAACTTCTGTATGCTAAAAACCTCACGGCTTTTTTTTTTTTTAATTTTACCTTACGTAAATTGTATGATACTGTAATAACATTAGCAGTAATTTTGGTACTGACGTTCTGTTTGCAAGTCAGTAGACAATACTTCCTGATGTTAGATGGCATTTACTTCATTTAGCTAAACGTCCTATTCGGTAAAACAGGCTCATTCATTTCAGATTTTGTATTTTTAGAACTTGTAGGACTACAGTGCTGATGCAGTCCTCACCATGTCGCCTGCGAGCATCCCTCCCCCGTGAGACAGGATCAATATGCCCAGGCCACTAGTGCTGGATGTCGCAACAAAAGAAGTGGCGTACATTTTGTACGGCATGAAATACCCTCTCCTGCCACCCCTGAGGCTAGCAATGAATTCTGGACTCTCCTACGGTCTGTGTAAGCTGCACTGTTGCCAAATATTTGGATCCCACAAAGCAGACGTGCAGACACCCATGCAGGGGATGCGGGGCAGGGCCGTGGTGCGCCAGACTTGCAGGCAGGTTTTTAGCAGCTGAGTATCTGCGTTTCGTAGCTGGGTCTGGGGGTGCAGGTGTTCAGCCCGCACAGCTTCGGCACCGCTGCAAAGCTCGGCCCGAGGGAGCGGGGCTGCCTTGACCTCACAGCGAACTTGCGCGCGAGGGACAACGTTACACACGTTCTTCACACGGGCTGAGAGGTGCTGCTAACTTTAACCAGTCCTGCTTGGTTACCGCGCTTAGGCCAGCCTCTAGACGGAGCTATGGTCACGCCTGACTAGGCTGGTACCTAGGCCGGGGATTCTAAATTCTTTTAAGTAGTGGATAAGCTGACTAATGACGGTACATTTTTTCATTTTGGACCATACGAAAGATGCTCTGTGGCAGCAACTTAATATATCAGTTTTCTGCCATGTGATGCTCTTGCTTGATGAACAGATGTCACCAAGGGAGCTACTCTGGCTGAAGCAACAAAAAACTTCTGTGAACACCTATGGCAAGAGGGAGCTCTCAGATACGTAGAAGCCACATTTTAACCAAAAGGCATCTCCCGTTTTTTGGAGCGGTGGCCAGGCAGGAAAGAGGCACCGAGGACGGCGTGCTGGGAGTTTAACCAAAAGGCATCTCCCGTTTTTTGGAGCGGTGGCCAGGCAGGAAAGAGGCACCGAGGACGGCGTGCTGGGAGAGGCTACTGCCTCTCGGATGCTGCAGCGCATTCTGCCGCACCGCTGGAGCGTACGTGGGGGTATTTCTGCCTGCGGTGGCTGGCAGCCCGGTCCAGATGTAGGGTACGTTATTAAGGCAGTGGAGATAAGGTTCAGGTGGCATAAGCAATACATACATTACTTAATCTTGTCCCAACAGCTGTATGTGTCATGACAGAATTTGGCACAAATCAGCACAACTGGAAAGTTACAAATGTCTAGAACTGACTAAAAACTCAAAAGACTTCTAGCAGGGAGCATAGGTAGGCACTGCGCATGTATGTGGAAGACTGCACAAAGCCTGTCATCTCCATCAGTCCTTCACCTTTCAACCTAAAGTAGCTGTAACTATTTTTTTAAAGTAATAAAACCAAAAGTCAACAACCTTACCAGAGATCATTGGCATGAATGTCTTTGGCCAGGAAAAGGAGCTACTACCAAGGCGTTGCAGAGAAACTTCAAGGGGCTAGAACAACTACTGTGGCAACTGCAGACACTTGGAAGTTGAAAGAGAGCCGATTCGGTAACTGACTGGATGGGCCTGTGCGTGACGGAATAAAAGAATCCTTAAATATCCAGACAAGTCTGCAAAACAGTCCTGTATAGCACTGTACTATGTGTTTTCCTAAATGCTGCGAGCGCAGCTTACTTCCAGAGCGAGCCACCCTCCCACTGCTTCCTCACGGCTGCTTTGAACGCGTACGATCCCTGCCACCTCATCTTCCTGTCTGTCTTGCCTGCCGGAGCGACCAGCGAGCCAGCTGTGCCCGGAGCAGGTCAGGCAGCCCTCAGCAGCGCTCGCTAACCTCGAGAACGTGAGCTGAGGGGGCTCGGTGGCAGCCACGGGCTTTTCGCTCGAGTGGCGTTAGTCTGTAATGGGTTTTTTTGGAGCTGGCCATTGCTCCAGTTGCAACTTCTCAAATGCCTGTGGAGGATTAGCAGTGATGTCTCTGCTGTACAGGCGTCCCTCTGCTTTAGAGTTCTGCAGGCTGCTGGGTCTAACTCTTCTGTTCCCTGGGCAGCTGTTTTGACAAACATCCAGGCAGTGTCCTACAAAGAAAAGCCGGTACAAGGGAAACATCATCTGTGAAGGGGAGAGGAAAGGCAAACGCTACGTGCACCACGAGCTCTGCCTGGAGCACAGTTTCGATACCTGGGGGTATGTGATGAAGCACTCCCTTGAAAATGTCACACAAGGATTTCATTTCACAGCGTTCTGACCTCAAATACCTTTTCAAAATAAAATAACTGAAGCGCTGTGCAATTATTAACATTTCCTGTTAGCTGCTCAATTTAACTGCAAAGTTGCATTTAAAATTCACTGAATGCACTGTTCAAGAGATGTACACAGTCCGAAACCTCCCATCCTTCGGGGAAGGACCAATGCAGGCTGGGTGCCTGCTGGTTTCGGGGGATGCTGGGCACTTTCATACTTCTGCTTTTCACTTGGCCGTTCCTCAGAGTCAAGGGGCTCTCCCCAGCGCCTGGCATGAGAAGAGGCTGCTAAAGGATAAGTATGCAATTTGAGTAGCGCTGGTAATAGCAACCGATCCAATTAAGAGTTTTGCTTATCTCCAGACAAACTAAAGGAGAGAAGTTTGTTGGGGAGGAGATAAGCTAGGAACAAAAATGAAAAGACTAAGACAGGAGAAATCTGTGCGCTCTCATTTTTGCCGAGAGACATCACACCCGCCCAGCACAACCAGAGCACATCACAGTATTTTAGGGACCAGCAACCCACTTGCCCAAAAATCCTATAGGTGGGTGATGAAAAACGGGTAGCTTTTTAACGGAGTAGTACTGTATCTTTACCCAAGACACAGACAATGTTAGTTAATGCATTACCTCCCTGATTCACCTCAGGACACAAATACTGACGACCTCCATCACCTTGGGAGGCAGAAGACTTCAGCGGGTCGTCCAGGGCCATGTTTTGCAGGGAGGGAATCCCAAGGATTCTTACAAGACACGATACGGGTAAGCAAGGCATCCAAAATACTAACCTGCAGCTTGGGCCCTGGCTCTGTTCCTCGAACGTGCATTGCCCTGTCACTCTGCTACTGCTGCCTCTCCCTCATGAAGCAAGCAGCTAAGTTACCAGGTGTAAAGCAAACTCAGACTGTCATTGTTTAAACTTACAGTAGTCACAGATTCCAAAATACAATTAAATACTGAAAGTTAGATCTAAACATATTTTTATCTAGATTTAACACAAGCTTTCATCTTTGCAGTGCAATGACACTGCCTGGCTTTTACACATTATACCAAAAAAACGCTTCTAAAGTGGTCTTCCCCTGGATCAACACCACAAATTCAACCTGCAGTGGTTCAAGGAAGTCTTTAATAGGCTTGACTTCCATTTAGGTAGCTCTAAGGCATGCCCTGTTTTAATTAGTTTCCCAAACAGTCACTAACGAAATTAGTTTTATCTTGCATTACTTTCTTTACAGGCCTACGAAAAGTCCCTGCCAAAAAACTCACGTAAGGGTGAGTCTCGGTCAATGACAGACATTCTTCTATCACAACAGAGCTTTTTTTTGATACAGAAGGTGTCGGACCTCAGAGCATTTTGCTGGAGTTTATCATTAGTTGGTTTGAATACAATACAGCAGAGAAGAAATGATGTTAGAGTAATGCACGGACTGAATAAACATGTGGCTTCAGGTAATTCAGTAATTATACCTAATCCCATGCCTGGTGGGGATTTATTTAAGGGCAGGGGGGAGGTTAAAGTAAGAGAGCCAGTTCTATGGTAGCAGTCTAACAGTTGGCTCCTCTTCCTCTTTCATAACAGTAACAGGCCAATAACCGCAAACCTTTTCCTATATAACCTTATTACTGCAGATTAAAAAAGAAGAGATGAGAAACATGACAGCATCATTCTGAAGAGTCACACCCACGAGGGAAAAGCAGCATCGTTCCTATCACTCGCAATGAAGCGGCAGCACTGCCCTGTCCCTGCTGTGCATCTGAACAAACCTTTGACTATTAGAAATGAGAGGTAAGGAATCAAATGAAAAGCCTACACAGGATTTGTAAAGGAAATTCTGAAATGGAAGATTACAGTTGGTTTCTAAGGAGCAGCAAGGTCACAGGAGACAGGTACATGTGAACAAACTTAATTCTTATAATTACTCAGAATGTATTTGTTGTATTGCTCCTTTTGTTAAGCAAAGAACAAAGACCAGAGAGATCTGTTCCTTTTCTGTAGAATCTTAACGGTATTTACTAGAGCTTTCTACTATGTTTAAAATGTAAGAGTTTGGTTTAAGTTCAGAGTGAGGCAGAGAACCAGTGGCAATTACTGTTCTTCTGTTTTGCTGCTATTCCTGAACTTCACCACCATCACTGTTATATTATCAGGACATCCTCTGTAAAAGGACTGTAGAACTATACTCTTTGCACCAAAGTGTGGTTCATCCAAGCGTTCCTTGATGAATCGGACAGCTTCCTCGTTGCTGAAAGCATCCCACAGACCATCCGACGCCAAGATCATGAACTCTGGCTGCAGTTTGTCCAGGTCAAAGGTAAGAATATCGGGGTCGGGAATGACAACATTCAGGTTCTTCAGAGGATAATCTCCTAACGAGCGGGACATGGCCAGGATCCCCTGAACGCGCCAGGAGCCATTAAAGCTGATAAATCCACCTGGAGAGAAACACCAACACTTAAAGCAGTTCTTTTTAAAGTCAAAGTATTTCCCTGGCTTCCTGCTAGACCCACCCAAAAATTCATCCTGCAGTATCCTGCAGTAAACAGACGTTACCTATCTCAAAAAGCAGGAGATGCCTTAAGTAAATCTCACAGCGCTGCCGGGAAGAGCTGGATTGTGGCTGCTGGTGCTGTGGAAACAGCTGAAGGGGAGAAGTCAGGAATGGCTCTTGCTTTCCAACCAACGGCTCGGACACAGCCAGCACCTGGCTGCTACACGGTCCGATCGCACCGGGGAGGGAACTACACGGTGTTCAAGGTCAAGGAGTAAAATTTAGGCACCTTCAGTTCCTGTGCATGCATCTGCCACTGTCTGCACTCTTTCACAGCAATAGTCCTGTCATTTTAACATGAATGAAAAGTCACTTGAGGACAAATAATTTGCAAACATGGAACATTAATGTGTATGACAAAATCAGGTGAACTGTTGTTTTTTATATCTGCAAGCGGTCTGCTTTGGTGTTCTTATAAATGACTTTGATCTTCGTAGTTATCAGAATGTTTTAAGCTCTGTGCTTCAGCCCGTGCGCTGTTGGTCACCTAGTCACCTAAATGCAAAGATAGCATTTCCATTCCTGGCTGGCTGATCTAATCTGTAAATCCCTTCTGCTTTCAGGTGAAACTACTTTTCATTTAATGATTCGTTGTTTAAAGCTTGAAACCCGATTTGTGTTAAAACCAGCAGAAACACAATTTTTCTATGGAGTCTCCATTATGAAGACGTTTCTTTCCACAGTCAAAAAAAGGAAGGCCTCGTGAGCCTACTGCAACTCCTCTTCAGGTCAAACACACCTCGTCCGGCCGCTGCCATCGGTTTTGAGGGCGCCTCAGCTGAGCGTTACACAGCCGCCTACTCACCAGCCCAGGGCTTTTTCATTAGAACTATAGTAACTGGTGCGTAATCACGTGTACGTATGGGAGTGACAGGGGAAGCAAAATGCAGTTCAGAAGAGGCAGTTTTAAGCAGACATTTTACATGCGGTCGGAGGACAGCAGTGCCCGCACCGTTCCTGTACCTGCAGAGGAGAGAGCTGATGCTGCTGACTCGCTGAGCGTGCTTACCCCAGTCTCTGCAGGTCGTGCTTACGCGTACGGAGTGACTTTTTGGTGCCATTCTCACGTGGCACCTGGAACTGCCACAGGCACAAGCGGGATTCCTGTGGTTTGCTGAAGTGTCTGTTGGCACTCCTATTATTTTCTTTTCTAAAGCCATCCATACAGAATACATAAAAATGCTCATGGAAAAGCAAACATTCTGCAGCGCTGGCTGCCACTGGAGGAGAAAAGGCATTAAAGAAATAGAAGCTTGTTGGCAGCCGCACAAACATTCTGCATGTTAGCGAGAGCTGAGCGCAGAGGATTATGTTGAAGGTGAATGAATTAAATTTCTATCAGTGACAGTCACCTTGTGGCTCTGCAACTGAGTGTGTCTTCACAAGCCAAACCCACGGTTGTTTCAAGGCCGCTGTCTTACGCTGATACTATAAACACGGCTCAGGCTCCGATCAGAAGGAGATTCCTTGTGTTTTCTGGGGAAACCAGCACCCTTGTGTCGCAGGACGTGCATTCCCCTATCCCACAGGAACGGGTCAGAGCAGCGGGACCCCGATCTCATTCAGCCGCGGGACGAGCAGCACCGCAGCACGTGTGAGCGTGCATCTTGTGAAAATAACACTCAGCCTTGAGAAAAACCCTGTGACCGGTGCGGTTAACTGCACAGCCACGCTGCACAGCAGGTAATTCCACAAGATGTGGCACCTCAGCTCAAAATGGAGGGCCCTGCCCTGGCCTCGTAGCTGCTGTCTTTCCTTCTGGCATGTGGCTGCAGGCGTGGGTACCGGTGGCCTCTCCCTGCGCTGCAGGAACTGCCACGAGAAACCTGAGCGTTGGCTTTCGGGGCTTCAGTGCGAGAGCTGCTCGGGTCATGTCGGACTGATAAAAGGAAATTTTTTTTCAGGTTGTGGGTTGACTGAAAGACTTTGTACACAGTTGCTGGAAATGGGGCAAAAGAGAGGGACTGAGTTCATTCCCATCCACCGACCGCTGACAGCAGCACGCAGTGAGCCTCCTTAACATCCACCATGGCAGCAAAAAATGACAGATTAGTTTCGACTTGTCAGCCCAATGTTAACGCCCCGCTGAGATGCACAAGGCAAGTCACGCTCTTCTTTGAGCTGGTGTTTCAGGCTGTCTCAAATTGATTTATATTGGACTGAGGTTTGAAGGGTATTTTCTCAACCATGGCTACATGGATTTCCCTTTTAAATGAAGTCTAATCCTACAGAAATGTGGAGTCATCTCATAACTACCCATAGAGCACTGGACGGTGCAGCTCGATGGTGCAATGTGAAGTTGGAAAACCGAAATGTACCTTAATGATGTGGTTATTGTCGCCGTCTTCAGTTCTACATGACAGGAAAGTATCTAGATGGTGGAAGAAAGTCAGGTACTTTTGTCACAGTAGCAATGTAGGCTTGATAATTCAGTACGGGCACTTTGCTTCAATTTTACACTTACTGTGTGTAAAGAAGGGATGTTCCAAAATGTAAAAGTATCTGGCAGTAGTATAAACTGGATTGTATGTTTGTAACAGCCCTGTGAGGCCACATCTATCATGATAATACAGTGGGGCAATAGGTAACAGAGCAGTGAACTCATTAAGTCACTAGGCCAGATAGAATATTTCTTGTTTAGCTGCAGATAGTTACAACATTTACCTACTAAAATAATTTCTTCCAAAGTTGGAAATCCAGGTGCATTTTTCACGTTGCTGTGTTACAAAGCCTCACTTCTACATAAGAGAAATACCCAGATAATTTTTTTTTCTCCTAAGTGAAGGCCTTCTCTAAGTGAACAATTGCATAAAGGCCCTGGACTTGGCTAAGAGGGAAGCAATTTTACAGAAAAATCTTCAGATTTATTGATCCATCCCCCAAGTACAGAGTTGAAGCAAAGTGAGACTTTCCTGTTCCTTCTTCTTAGGATCCATACACCTTTTCTTCCCCTTCAGGGAATGTACGTGACCTCGGCTGTCTGGCTAGCAGCGGGAAGGATCCCAACTGCTCTTACACCTCCTCGGCGAAAAAAGCAAACTGAGAGGAAAGCGCACGTTGCACGTGTACAGGCATTTATGCTGCTGTGAGCGTATTGATAACCTGTAGGTTTTAAAAATGTTTTCTACTCGTGGAAAAACTTGTTATTTCCACTTTACAAACTAAGACGTGGAGGCAGAGAGGCAGTGCATCTCTGGAGGCAATGCTCATCAGGTTTAACATAAACGAGAGGAACATTTTTTCTTCATCAGGTAATTTGCTGCTTGTGGGCTGTGGGAGCCAAATCAGAAACGGGTTCAAAAGAGACTTTGACAAATTCATGGAGAATTGGCAATTAAACTTGGTGATCCAAATGTAACTTCTAGCACAGAAGGTCGCTAAAGTGAGAAGTGATGAAAGCTAGAAAGATTTACTGCAGAAAGGTTGCTGTTTCTTATATTCTTTCCCTGTACTCCTGCTACAATTTACATGATTGTGCTCATTAGCAGACACTATATGGGAACAAAAAATAGCTTTGATGAATTAGATTCATGCGCTGCTTATTTTAGGAGCTAAACCTCACTCAGATTCAGAGTCAGCCTCTCACATAAAGGCTGCTGACACGGTTTGGTGTGAAGACGCCTGTAATGCTGCTGCTCCTGTTTATTAATTTGCTCCCCGCAGAGATCAGAAGGGAACTGGCCGGGACGGTCAACTGGCTGGTGAAGATGAAGGCTGCTCTTCTTACTCCGACAATGGCTCGTTAAGGGACAGGTCAGTCTGCTTCCACTTCTCTGTCTGCACCGTGACACCCCACCGAAAAGTGCTGTGTTAACAATGGAAGATTTTATCTGCTGATGCCTCAGTCTAGTACTTTTCAGCCTCTCTCAGGGGAAAAGTCTATATTATTGACAGACCAGAGGAAAAAAAAAAAGATGAACCTTCAATTCAAAACAAAAACATTATGACTCACCAGCTCTTTTAATCCTCTTCCTCTCTTTCAGTTGGTAGGGCTTGTGATCGTGTGACAAGGGGATAGCATTCCCATCCTTGTCACACAAGACTCCTCGCGAATCACCAACGTTGGCCACTATGAGTTCTTTATCTGACAGCAGTGCGATCAAACAGGTTGTACCTGGAAAAAACAGAAGGGAATGGGAAGCAAAACAAATATGTGGGGAATGTACACACATATATATATAAAAAAATGATTAACCGGAAAATGTTTTTCCTTGTAATAATGGCAGAGAGGGGCTGAAGTGGTAGGAGTGTGTTCCGGTCTCCGTCTGAGAGCCGGCTTTTCCTAATGGCCAGGGAAAGTAATAAAAGTACAAATTAGCCCCAGAGCCCACTCGCAGCTTCTGAGAGCTGAAACTACTGCACTGGACCGTGCACGGGTAAAGCAGAGCTCTCTCCACTCATCCCCTCAAGAACTGAGGTCAGTTTTTTTTTTTAATTGAAAAGAGGAAAAATTTTGACATTTTTAATTTAACTACTTTAACCTTTAAATACACAGAAGATGTAATTGGTCATTGACCACTGTATCCAACAGGCATAGTATTTGTTGGCTGAGGCAGCAGGAAATATTGGGAAAATTGGCTGTTTTCCAAGTGAGAACACTATAGGTTTTGTTTCCCTCATTTAAGTGGAATGAATGTTGAGCAAAGCAGAGCCCATCCAGACCATGCCTTTTCTATATTTTCCCCTTCTGGCTAGCGCGAGCTGTATTCCTAAAAACTCCAGCTATTACAAGTATTTCTTGCATGGGCTTTGGACCAGATGTCACGATTTCATTCGTATTTTAGAACAGAAAGATGGCAAGTAAGCTTTTAGGCAGACACTAACAAACATTAAAATGGAACGTGCCTGGCACTTAGTTTAGATTACACGGCACTGCTAAAATTTTTACAAAAGGTACTCTAGTATCCTTCAGCAGTAAATAAAATTAACTTAGTGGCTGCTTTCCTTTCCTTTTAGGTAGACCAGAGAAGCACATGGTTGAGTTTTCACCTCCGTTGGTAATTTACATCTGATTCTTCATTAAAAATAAGGTGCACCCACAGCCTGGGTGCTTGGGAAGAAGGACTTGGGGCCAGCACGAAGGGCCCCAGCGATGAAACTCAAGCAACAGCAGGGCTGCAAAGCAACGGGTCTCTGCTTGTACGTTTTAATCAGACAAGGACGCGGTTTTAATGAAAATGCTGGCAAGGGGACGTTCCAGCACTGCCTACCGCCAGCGGCAGCCTGGCCCCTGGTTTTGCTCCTGGGGAGCACGGTTAGGGTTTACGTCTATGTTCTGCGGTCTAAAAGTTAAATTCTCATAGCTGCTGCTGGTTGCGTTGCTGTCCAAACCCAGAACTAAAAACTATGTTTTGCTGTTCCCATGTCAGTAGTTGAATATCCCATGGCTGGTATAAATAAAATAGCCAGTAATAAACAATTTGTGTTTAGATGCACTGCGTTCTGGAGATTTATTTTTAACGTAATGGTCTGTCTTGCACAGCTCTAAACGAGAGCTATTTTTTCACAAGACAGGCATATCTCTCTCTCTCTTATTTTTTGCAATTGACTGCCACATTGCAGACCTAAACGGATTTGGTTCCCGTTTGTTGCTAACACCCCTTGCTAACTGCACGACTTAGTGGCTCACCTGACGACAGGGCGTGCAGAGGAACCTGTCCACCAGGGTCACCCGAGGAACCCAGCAAAATGAGCTGCCTCCTCAAGAAATGTCTCCTCTGACGACTAACGGAGATTGCGCCGAAGGGTGTGAAGAAGGCTGTGCTGAAAGCGGGCTGGATGCCCGCCCGCTTCGGATGCAGGTCCCGGCCTTCGTGCCCCCTCTAACGCCAGAGGACTTGGTCACGAAAATACCGGTACCCGAACCACAAAGACAACAAAACAACAACGAGGGTACACACGGCTGTAGTGGGGTGCGGCTGGTCATTTTAGCAGAACAAAATGGGATTTAGCATTTGAGGTCACCTCACTCTCCACCTGCAGAAAAGCTAGTAACTCTGCAAATGCATAAAGCTCTGGAAATTACAGCAATAACGGCACCCTCCCTTGCTTTTATTTATGAAACTTCCCTTAACAAATGCTCGAGCAGCATTGTGCTGGCAACCTGCAGGAGACCAGAGGGCTGGTACCTGCTGAAGCTGGTCTGACGTGTCGTCTAAACTTCAGAGAGAAAAAGAACAGCCGCCTTTGCAATTTGGGTTGAAAACAAAACCTGCGAGATGTAAAATGGGGACAAAAGTGAAAGCCCTCTTGGATGGGAAAACGGAGCCAGCACCAGCTGCAGCAGCGTCCCGGCGTGCCGCAGGAGAGAGACCAGGCTCCGCAGATTGCCTTCCCCCTTCCGTGACACCAGCCCAGCGTGTATTTTTCCTACAGGCAGTAGTAAAAATCATACGTTTCCTAGTAAGGAATATACTGCAAATAACATCCCAGGGCCCCGGCGTTTACAAAGTAAAATGCTTCGCAAATACAGTCATTATCACCACAATTTATATAAAAATGGTATCTTTGAGCACAGTCTTCTGGTTATGTGATCCGTGTGAATGAAAAAGAACGAGCGTCTGAAACAGGAGACAATTTCTGAAGTGATTTAGGAAGGATCAGTTGTTCCACGGTCCCCGACTGACGGCTGGGCTATCCTTAAGTCCCTGACCCCACGCTACCGCCTGCCATTACATGAGAAAGCAAACTTACTTTACTTTGTTTGCTTTTCCATCTATTTTTATTTCAGTCATTTAACCTTGTGTAGAGTTAGAAAACATCCTGCTCTTGTCAGCCGCCTCAGATTTAATGCCATTGCACAAGGGAAAATTCCCAACATAAAGGGTCCAAAATTGAGAACACGTTATATTAGTCCCTCGATGCAGCTGCCTGAATAATACCCTGCTGAGCAGTTTACAAAGAAAATCACCAGAAAATTTAAATCCTGTACTGCACTGGCTGCAGAGACAGGGTTGTAAAGTCAGGTAAGATCCTGGGTGGTGTATTCTAGTATCAGGCAAGGCACCTTGTAAGAGCCAAGGCTGCACCGGCTCTACCGGTTTTTGGATAACCGCCTTACCGGAAGGAGGAAAAGTCACCAGAGTGCACACAAGACCCGACTGACGCATTTTAAAAGGCATCAGAAAGCCCAGGCGTGACCCAGCTCACCCTGCGGCCGCCGGAGACCTCGCGCTTGGCACGCGGCGGCGGCAAGCCCTGCTGACGCCCGGCTCCAAACCTCCTCGGGAGGAGGACCCCAGCCCCCG